TCCATGGCAAAATGTGGCCCAGGTGTTTAAACAAAATAGGGATTAAAGAATTTGCATAACCTCTTTAATGTGAATCTAGGTTAATGTCTATGTCCAAGAGGTGCTTGGTATCTATGAGGTGCTTCGTGTTCTTAGCATGAACTGATCACTGAGGTTTACACTTTTCATAAAGAGATTTTAAAGTAAGGGATGGGAGAACTATTAAATAAATATACACTCCATTTTTAAATGTTGGATGTATTTTCTGTGTAGACACATTAGTTAACTCCGCATCTTTTCATACAGTCATTCCATTTATGAAAGCAGGAGCTGAATGAGATTGAAAAATGGCGCATCTGAAATCAATCAATGGCAACAGTGTACAGGGGGGAAGAGGAAGAGAATCCAGTTATTACACATCAATATTACAGGCTTTTAGCACAGGTTTTTTTTCTTTCCTGTCACCTGCAAATCTCACTTCACTAGCTCCCTGAGCTACTCATAGCCAACGTGAGGCTGTTAATGATGATCTAAAACACTTTTGCCTTCCTCACAGGACCAGGAGTGTGTGGCATAAAAGTTCAGAATCCTATCTCAGGAGTTCAATTTGTACAGCATTTCTTACTTTGGGGGGAAAAGTGTGCAATGCAAGGTCTACAGAAATAAAGCATTAAAATAACACTTAAAAGATCAGTTACTCATTTCATCAGTGAAGGTCACACAATATTTATATGCCTCTCCAAGTCCCCTGAATTTAATTACCTTACAATTTCACTATAGTGCCAAACTCTTCTCTAGTCTTAAATCTGTATTGGTTCTTTTATTTGCATCCTTATGTACAAGGTTATTTGTAAGAAAAAAATTTAAGACCTACTAAAGTGAAAATAGAACTATAGTCTGACACACTCCTTGAGAGTAAAAGAAAACAAGCCCATTTTGAAGCAAAAATATAATGATCATCACTCAGTGGAGTTCTATGGGGGCAGGGTTTTGTTTATTTCACTGCTAATTTCTTGGCACTGAAATATAGTTCTTGGCACCAAAAATAATGGCAGGAACAAAGAGTAGGTGCTTAGCAAGTATTGTTGAATGAATGGCTCATAATAGACCTGCAGGGTCACAGAGAAAAAAAGAAACATACAAGAATGCATCATCTTCAATGCCTATAGTGGTCACTGTTATTTACATATTAAATGAATCAAGAATATGAACACAAGATTTTATTTATTTATTTATTTATTCATTCATTCATTCATTCATTCATTCATTCATTCATTCATTCGCTTTTGCAGTGCTGGTGCTGCAACCCAGGGTCCTCATATGAGCTATGCAAGAGCTCTATTACTGAGCCACACCTCCAGCCCAGGATAACATTCAGAATTCAC